AGGAATCATTTGGGAGAGGGAGAGTTGGCCCAGCTGAAAACCCTGCTCAAAACCATGCTGATAGTTGACCAGGATTGTGGTCTGCAAGCTCGTGCCTGGCCCTGGCTGATCCAACAGCACAACCGTAGCCATAAAATCTCACAGTGAGGTTTAACAGGAGCCCATTGCACCATCCTTGWGGTCTTCAGGACCCCAATGGTGACCAAAAGAAGAGCCTTTTGAACCGCTGTAGGTGCGAGGCGAAGGCAGAGCTGCTGCTCAGCCTCGGCGGAGCCCGAGCCTCGCGCTCGGCGCTGCTGCCTTGCCGAGCGCGCTCCGTCCCTGGCGCTGCTGCTGGGTGTTCCCGGCTGCAGGAACGTTCGCAGGGCACAGATGGTCTGTCTAGCACCCTATTGTGAGAGCTGAGACCCCGTAAGCCACCACTAGAAGTGCTGTGGCTTTTAGGAGGAAAGGGGTATGAAAGAAACGTCGCCTACTAGTAAAAACTGTAGCTGCACAGAGCTTATTTTTTTCTCCTTTCAGTCAGTGCTGTAAAAACTCCAGTGACACTTCTCCCTGCAAATATCCGTGTTTAAAGAAAGAGATGGAGCCACAGTAAATATTGAGATGGCAGCACAACCCGGTAGGGTTGTAGCCTTCTCCTCCCCATTAAAATGGAAGCGCGGTGCAATCCTAGCTGGAAGCACATCCCAGCTGCCGCAACAACAGCGTGCTCAGCAAACATGCAGCGGGAGGAGCTGCTTGGCATCCAGAAATCTTTATTTCCTGCCCTTTTTGGAGGATCGAGCTCCCAAGAGCATGTTGGCATCCTGGATGGATGCAGGACAACCACATATTTTCACTAATAACCATATGGAGGCTGTGAGTGCTTCCCTAAAACTACCTGGACACCTCCAAGCTGTTTGGAAGATGTTGTCCCAATGCAATCCTTACATTCCCGCTCGGTTTCTGCCCCACTTCTTGCAAACTGTAGGAACCGTCAGCAATTTTGTTCTCGGGCTYTTTTCTTTCTCTGAGAAAAGTTCCCTCTCTCTGCTCGCTGAGCTGAAAGGGAATTCATGAAGACTGCAGTTTTAAAGGCAAAATCGGCCCTTTTTGTTTTCTGTTTGTAGCCACACTAAACAAGATGGGATCTGGCCAGGGTTGTTATAGTAACTACTAAGATTTCCTCAAGAGAAGGAGGAAAAAAAAATAGAACACAGGCCCATTCATCTATTACTTCCAGTTTTTCATTCAGAGTTACATGCTGTTCTGTGTGGATAATTTGCAAGCCACACAGTGTAGGTAATCTCAGTGACAAAAAAACATACCCGTCATGAGCACAAATGACTCTCCAGAACATTGTGCTGATGCTACTGGTTTATTTTTTGGCTTTGGTGATGAGGATGGACCCAGATCTGCAGTTCTTAGTGGTCACCTGGCTCTGGCTCCTCACCTCTGGATTTGGGCTTGCAGGATCAGGCTGTCGCAATTGCATTTTATTGATATGCAGGGCAGGTGGTCGCTTTGTTTCCCACCTGAACTGATGCGATGGGTTTTAAGCAAGTAGCCATGAGGCTCCCAAGGCAAGAAGCTGTCAGGAAGTAAGAGAGAGAAACGTCTTGTTATGCTCTTGTGTGATGGTTTCCTTTCACATACTGGAAATACTTCACTTGAAAAAGCCTAAAAATTGTTTTTTTCAGGGCTGTGCTGGTTCATATGCTACCYGAGAAGGTCCAGAGCTCTAACTAGGTCTTTCTCCTAGCCCAAGATCCTTGACAGTTCATTGCTAAGCAGGATCGTGAGGCACCAAACCCTGTCTGCAGTGCGGAGGCCCAGCGGGTTAGAGGAGAACGGGTGTTTGATGGGCTCTTTTTGCATCTTCTGCATGGTACATGGGTCCCTCTAGCCCTGCATCACTAGCAGTCTTCAAAATTCCTAAATTCCWTTTTGTCCAACATCTTCAATGAGTAGGAAATTGCCTCCAAATTTGCCTCTGAGGAATGTCCAGGTGTGAAACCAGTTTTTTAGTTCCTTTTCAATCCTCTTCTGCCACTTCTGAAAGGAGAGAACCTGTTCATAGGACACAGCTCTGCTGCAGTTGCCATCCAGCCTTCACCCTCCGGGGAAAATGTGTAACTTTGTGTGTAGTTGGGCTTAAACAATAAGGAACCATTTCTTAAAGCTGTGGGATACTGGATAGACGTCAAGGGTGGCAGGTGACTGGTCTCATTCACTTGAGCGTCCAGATCAAGCTTAGTTGTCCTTCTAAAGTAATTAAGTTTCTTCCAAGAAGGGACCTAAATGTTAATTCCATCGCTTGCATGGTAAAATAATCCAATAAGGTCAAGCTTAAACCTCAAGGGAGATTCAGTGCTTATATGCATAAGGGAAGGGGGGCATTAAAGAGAAGTCTCTTTGTTGMTGGCAGGGGATGCTGCCAGTTTCTTGGGCCAGCAGGTAGGGAGCAAGTAGCTAGAAGGGAAGTCCACTGAACATTGCAAACATGGGGAAACCTCCTCTGCTTTGGCCACCCRTAGACCACAGCTTGGATGGGAGAGGGACTTAGGGGAGACATCTGTTTGCCCCCTTCTCATGGGCCCTGTTGGAGAAAACCTGAGCTAGGTGGATGTTTTCCTGCGTCACTGATGAAAGATTTTTTTTAACTGATTGTTTTAAGTGATTCTCTGATTTTTGTGCTGTTTCTAAAACCTGCTGCTAGGTGACATTGGTGATTGCTGAGAAGTGGGGAGCTTCCCGTGCACACCCTGTTACTCACCTTCAGTGCTCTGTGAAACCTGTAATGCTTGAGAAATGCAGCTTTCTAATTTTCCTAATTCCCCCGTGAAATACGAATAGAAGAGAGCAAAAGAGAGATCTCCCCCTCTTGCCAGGAAATAGTCCCCATTTGTCTTAATCATCTTTCTTTCGATGTCCCACATGTTCCTAACAAGTCTTATTCCGCTTCAGGAAGGGCAGTGAACCCCGCAGCAGCCCAGGGTGATGCTCCATGGCAGGAATTAAATCCAGCTGCTGAAAATACCCTGGCAGTAATTCACAGTAGGCTGTGCTTGAGGAGCAAGACTTCTCGTTTAGCCACCAGAAGGTCGAAACGTGGCTGTTACCTAAACCTTCAGTGCAGGCAGCTGTGTCCTGGACACCTTGATTTCCACGTGGGAAAGGTGCAGGTTTGTCCCATGGTTTGTGTGTGGAGTGACACGATGCGGTGAGCTCTGCCTGAGCTCCCAGCCTTGCCCACGGCCACGCGGAGCTTTGCGGAGTCCTTCCCACCTCTGACAGCGCGGGCGACTTGGCATCTTCGGGCAGCCGCTCCTCTTTTACTGGGTGCTAATCAGCACCAGGGAGCCAAATAGGAGCTGCCAGGGCGGCAAATCCGCGGGATAGCAGCGTATCCCAGGCCAAAGCGCTCGGGAATCCCATGGGCGAGCGAAGGAATTAGCGCTTTCCCAAACGTCTCCTTGTAAAGGCTCCAGCCGTTCATTAGCCGCCGCTCCCAGGTTGGCGCTTCCCAGAAAACAAAGTCCCCTTTGATGTTCCCATGAAAGGCAGGAGAGCAGCGCGGGTGCCACGGACAATGAGCTACAGGGAGACCTGCCCTTTTCACGAGGGGCCCCGCCGCTGCCACGCTAAAACCACAGGTCTTTACAGGAGTCGTAATCAGCCTGCGTGTTGTTTTAGACAAAATATTCCGTATCTGGAAAAGGACCCCGGGCAGCAGCATTATAAAAACTGCCGCCGCCCCGGCCGGCGCGGAAAGGCCGAGTGCAGTCCCCGGAATTCATCGGGATGGTAGATAACCCGCAGCAATCTTTTTAAAATGGTAATCTGAACGGCGGGCTTGGCTTTGAATATTTGGGAGCCATTACTTGGTTATCTGCCGCTTTCTGCAGGCGCGGATAAGCTGATTGAACCCCGGCAAAGCCACTGTTTATAACCCGGCTTGTGCTTCCGTAGGTGAAATTATTTCAGCAGGAATGAATGAAATTAAAAAAACAAAAGCCTTTGACGGCTTTAGCTGCAAAAGACTCTGCTTTTATGTGAATAACTGCTCTGGGAGTAAAATGATGATTCTAACAGGCTGCTGTACCATGACTTAATGCCCTCGTGATCACTTAAACACATGAAATGCACTCGTTTTTCTGCTTTGTCACAATGTGAAGATGATCTTTATTTGCACATGCATTTATTTTAATTGCTAGGGTTTTCACGCGCGTGCTGGTTGATATTCCAGTTCTAATTTTAACTGCACCAATGACTCGCTACCAATTCTTTGGTATTTTTAAAGAGAATGTAACCAATAGCCAAAATACGAAATAAAAAAAGAAAAAGAAATTAAAAACACCTCAAGACAAACAGCGCAATGGGCAGGGATGAGGCACCCTAACCAAGCAGCACAGGTTGGCAGTTCTGTCTAGGGTGAATTTTGTCTGAACTGTGTAAAAATTGTGTTTAAGATAAATGAACCCAGCTCGATCTCCGATGCAGAGCTACAAAGCGGGGCTGTTACAGTCCTGATCAAGTTGAGCTTCTTTATACTGCGGTGCTGAAGTTGGGCTCAGATTTGCAGCTCTGTAGCTTTCTAGTGGCTCTGCATTCTTGGTGATGATGGCTGAGACCCGGCTGGAGAAGCCCATTTGTGCGGGCTGATGCCTTCCTTTGCTCTTCAGCAATTTCCATGGTTGCTGGTGCATTTTAGAGATATCTGCCCTGGGAAGGGCTGTGGGAGAGAGTCAGCTCCTTGGGGTTTCTCTGGAGTTTCCCTGTCAACTTTTCTGGGAAATTTCATCTGAGACTTTGATACCTTACCAATTCCGTAAAAATATATTCTGCATCTACCATAAATGCATCCATTTTGTCTGAAACTTGTTCCTGTTTTACGCTGTATGTGCAGAAGGACCCATCACAAGGTCTGTGTGAGAGAAGACGTGATTATGCAACATCGAGACACCGCCTTAGATAATGCAGCACGGAATAAATGTTGCCCCCTGCTTCATTTGCAGAGTCGCCTGAAGGAAGCCGTGCAGTTGCTGGAGGATTACAAGCATGGAACTCTGCCCCCAGGAGTCACCAACAAAGAGGTAAAGGAGAAAGCCTGGCTGCCTTCTGCCTCTTCATGCAGCCCACGGGGAACCGCTGTCCACAGGCAAATGCAGTTTATGTTTTTGGTGCTCATCCTGGTTCAGCACCAGGTCCTGGGGGTGCTCAGTTGAACCGCTGCCCAGCTGCCAGGGTGTTGGGCAGAGGTTGGGCTCTTTTGAAATCTCCATCTTGCAAAAATGCTGCTGGGTGAAGATGGTAACAAGGAGCTTCCAATAAAACCCTGCAGGATTAGAAAGCTTGCTTTTTTCTTTCTCTGCTTGCGCAAATACTGATTATCTTCAATCAAAGCTATTGCTTCCTTTCCCTTGCAAAGTGTTTTTGTTATTAAGAATTCATAAAGAAGGAAAGGGCCTTCCTTGGCTTCGGTGGAGGAGAGCTTGCTATCAGTTTTTTTATTAGCARTTGTGGTTCGTGGGGCCCCTCTCGTACCGTGCTCCTCTTGCAGGACATAAAAAAATGCCCTGCACTGAATATTCCTTCACCAAAAGAAATGTAGCCTAGACAACAGTCCTCCATATAACCAGTTTCTCACAGTGTATACATATATTCATACATATTTGCATATATATATATACCATGTTTTCAAAAATGGTACTTTTTGTGAGGTGGTGTTGCTGCCATTGGGATCCCTAAGCATGGAGCGGCTTTGCTAGAGGAGGTTGTAGAAACCCTGCTGGAGGGGAAGTTCTTAGCACAGTTTGCCAAGAAGAAGGAAGCTTTGGGGAGAGCTTTGGGGTGGAGGGTTGCACGAGCTGAGCCCCCTTAGCTATATAGCTATAAAACTAATAAATACATAAGCCTGAAGCAATTACTGCAGGGCAGCTAGGCTGCATTTTGAGCCTTTTGCGTCCAGATCATTAGCATTTAAGCACTGCAACTTTTCTTCAGGCTCTCTTCTTCTCTCTTTCTTTCTCTTTCTTCCCATCCTTGTTGGTGTTTGGAATCCTGACTGTCACAGCAGACACACATCAACAGTGGGTGTCTATAACATCTACCAGCATCAGTCCTGAGTTATCTCCTGATCTAAAATATGGATAAAGTGCCTAAGCAGACTGTGCTGCAAGGCTAGACCTGCAGGGCTTGGCTCTCCTGAGACAGGGCTTTGGTCCTTAGTGCTTAAACTTCTGTCTCCCAGCGCCRCTCCATGACCTTGTATCCAGTGCTGAGCCTTGTAAGTGCCTAAGATTAAAAGGGAAAAGTTAAGAACAGGGTTTTGTTGGCAGGCCTGTTTCAGGGCTTGAGAGAAGCAACTGTGACAAAGAACTGGTTCAACTCTGAAGGAAATGATAGAAAAAAATATGTTTGTCTCTTAACTCCCTGCAGGTTAAATAACCCTTTTATTTCTTCTCCTGTACACGTGCGATCCTTGCGTGTCGTGTGAGGAAACTATAGGATGGCAACGAAGAAAACTGAGGTTTGCATTCCCTTTAGGCTGCTTATGAGCTGGGTGCTATTTTGGGATTTGGGAAAGAGGCATCGCTCCAACAAAACCTCGGAGGGAATTACCCCTTCCCTGTGCCATTTGCCCTGCAGGGCRTCATACTCATGGTCGTTCGATGTCACTCTGTTCAGCCAACCTTAATTTGATGGTAAGGAGAAGCAACCAGAGCTCGGGAGAAGGGGAAAGCAAAGCATGATGCAGCAGCAGATGACTCAGTTCCCATCTGCCCTCAGGCAGATGAAATACAAGTCACTCACTGTTGCAAGCCACGCAGGCTTCTGACCTATATTTTTGGGTTGGTGTAGTGATAAACCTAGGGTACACCCGGAGTTCATTCAGAATTGCACTGCGAGAGAGAGAGAAAAGTGTCATATGTTGCTTGTTTCCCTCCGCCCTGACAATATTAAGCACGGGGCTCTCCTCATTATGCAATCTGGAGGAATTAAAGTGGGAAATAAAGGTATGCGGTGCAGCAGGAAAGAGAAAACGGGGCTAAAAATGCCCTTCCCAAGAAAAACGGCAGCACAACAGTGTAAGAAAAATAATAAAAAGCCTGAGCAGTTTATCCTGATCACGGTGTAAATGGTGTTGGGGGTCTTAYGTGCTGCTGACAGATGGCTCCTTTCTGCATTGGCCTGGAGGATGAGCCGCTTTCCCGAGGAGCGGATATCGCTTCCTTTGGAGATCTGGAGCCGTGAAGCCCGCAGTGGGAACTGCAGCATGTCCTGGTTATTGGGTTTAAGCCTCCTTTGCAGTATTAATTAAACCCCACAGCAGGGCAAGGTGAGGAAGCCTTGGGTGGATCCAAMACCACTGCAAGACGCTGTTTGCTGYGACGCTGTCAMGGAGAAGGGGACAACGGGAAGGGACCTGAAGGCAGCAGGTMGATCAACGTGCTCAGCCTGCAGCAAGACAGCAGTGAGGGACCGTGCCCAAGAAGCAGCCAAAACTGGCTTGTTAACGTGGAGCAATGATCTGTGAAGTCAGCAGGYACCTTCTTCCTGGGCCTTTGAGCTGGTTGAAAGGAATGATCAGCCCCAGGAGAGGCAGRAACAGAGGTGTGAAGAAGGTCGCTGTGGTGTGTGAAGAACGTCAAAAAAGGCTGAGACCTTCTAAGGAGAAGGGAATTCTTCCTTCTTGGCCCCACAGTTTCCTCAACACTCTTGGCTGGAGAATTAGGGCCTGCAGAGGAGAGCATTGKTAAGGCCAGTGGTTTTGGAAGTGAAAACGAGGTTTCCACCCAGGTATGCCAATGTCCACCAGGATACAGGTCTCCTGAGTTTCACCTCCTCTAATCTTGRAGGTTCTCCTCCTTTTGGGAGGGCCAAGGATGGGATTTCCTCCTCCTAGGAAGGCCCTGTCAGCTTTGCTTGCAGAGAGACTGTTTGATCCAATCTCCTCCAGCTGGAGGTGAAACTCAGGAGACCTGTATCCTGGTGGACATTGGCAGGCATTTCAATTCCAAAAACTTAACGTGAGGATTCTAATTTATTAATTTTGACTGTTACATGTGTAGATAGATATTCCTGGGCATGCTGTCTTATTGTTTTGCTTGAAAAGTAATGTCTGAAGTCTTTTAGTGTAGTTTTCTTGGCCTGTGGTATTCTCTTGTCGTGGTGATAACTTGGTGTCATTTTCCCCTTGGTTACTGCTGTGTTGCAGTCAAAAAATAGCCCCGTTTTTTCTTCAACTTCTTTTGTTTTATCTGTTCTCTTCTTTTTCTCTTGTTCAGGCTAAACTTTGCCCCCGAATTGTTATGGAAACCACTCTTCCTTTTCCAAATAACTTATTTTCACTTACGCAAGCGATAGCTCTCTAAACCAAACAAGGACACTCTATAATAAAACCAGGTTTCACCCAACTCGGGGGCTGAGGAGGAGCTCAAGGGGAGCATGTGGGGAGGTCTATCTAGCTGGCAAGTCTACTGGTACTGATTGACATATGGCAATGGCAGATATACAGAGCTGGAAGTGTCTCATTAGTTGTGGGGCCTTTGCAGAACATACGATGTGCTGGTTGCTTGCTTGGGGGAAGGGAAGCCTCTCCCTTGCATTGTTTTCACCCCAATTTTTCATTGCTGAACCAAGGAAGATGGGAGAATGCTCTGGTTTTGCTGCCCCAAGCTGAGCTGCCATTTTTGTGGGTTTTCTGCATGCACAGCTGTGCGGGACGGGCTTTGGCTACAAGGCAGGGAGCAGAGGAGAGAGATTTGACTTCGTTTTCGGGGTGTTTGCACTTGTTTTGAGTGCTGKTTGGGCAAGGGGCCCAGTGCTGCATGGACAAGGTGCTTCCCTTGGGGAGAGCAGCTCACGTGCCTGGGCGTCCTAGTCACAGCTGCAACCATAATCACCCTAGAAGCCTTAAAGATAAAAGTTTGGGCATTTATGAGCATTGTGATCAACCCAATAAACCCCCCAAATGCCAGCTTCCCATCTGAAAGACATATTTTGACTGAAATGTTTCATTTTCTGACTGATCTGTGGTGCACTATGTTTGACAGGGTTCAAGCTCCCTAATTTTTCCTCCCCATTCAGAAACTTGTGGATCTCATAGGGTTTGCCAGTCTCTGAATAAGCATCCCCTCAGCTTAACCTATGCTGCCTGCTGAAATGCTTTCACTGAATGAAAAATGAAAGGATAAAAGCCTAAAATGACAGATATCTCCTGCACACTTCTTATCTTCCTGGCAGGCCTTTATGGAGATTGTTTCTTCTCCCTTCCGAAAGATTTAAATGAATTGAAATGGTACAGTTATGGACCATTCTTAAAAGTAAATTAAATAATAAGAAGAAAAACACATCCAGAGTAATTAATTGGTTGCTTCTGTTCCTCATGGCTATCTCTAATCCAGATTACAGAAGAATCGCAGTGTATCTCCAGCTGCTCTCAGGGAGAAGACTTGTGGACTTCCACGCTCCCCAAATCCACATTTTTGGTTACGTTCTTTCCACCATCTCTCTGTGCTCTGGCTCTGAATTCATCTCGGGGACGGGCTGCAGCGTGAGCATTTGGGAAAAGGAGAGTTTCCCCCATTGGGTCTGTSCCTTGCTGGATCTCGTGGTTGCCACCGTGGGCTCGTGCTTCCCTTTGCACCAGGAGCCTCCTGGCTCGTCCTTGCTGCTCGATGCAGCAGCTCTTCAATGACACTGATTTCACTGCTCGGGAAAACAACCCCTTAGCTCAGGGTGGTAAAAACCTATTTCTTGAGCATTATTAGCAAAAATGAAGAATTGATCTTCTAGCTGTCAATAGCTGCTAGACTGCTGATAGCTTTTTAATGAGGGGAAACTACGATGATTTCTACATTGGAAAAATGTTTTCAAAACATGATTTTTTACCGGCGCTGGTCCATAATTTATGTACTTAGCAAAGCTAAGGATGAATGCGTGTTTGATTATTGTTTGTTTAGTGCTTTGTATCTGAACAAGGAGACGTGTCCAAGCTCCTCCCTGGCGGCTTAGCTCATTTACCCAACCTTGTCTTCCAGTGTTTGACAGCCGGACTTGGTTTGGATGAGACATGGGTGAAATGGGGTGT